GACCGCAGAGCCCAGGGGACAACTGCTTGAGGCCTGTCACACACGGCCTGTTTTTGTTTGTTGTTTTTCATTTGGTGTGTCTCAGTAGCGTATTTATCACTTCTGCCCTGTGACACGGCAGCAGAAAGCACGGTCGTTGTTAATCCGGGCCCCGACCGATCCGGCATGATATTTTGTGATTTATTTGAAGTCATAGGATTGCATTGGGTAACTGCTTTTAGTCTAACCGCTATCCAAACAACCTTTCTGGCATGGTAGGACCTGCAGGAACATAAGTTCCAGCCAGTATAGCTTGTTGGGTCATTGCGGTGTTCAAGCCCGACCACCACGTCAAGGTAGCAGCTTTCGATCGGGAACCACTGAGATGGAATTCAATGGCCAATCATTTCTAACTTCTTTCGATTCTCGATTTTTAGTGTGACCGTCATCCTTTGTTGTTGCTGAGTGTCTGTTCTCACGGTCATCTTGGTCAATCCCACTGATTACCATTTCTCATTAGGAATTTCAGGAAACTCCATCCTTTAACCAATCAGCAGTGAGCAATAGATTAGGTTCCACTTGTTGATTCTCTGAAGAGTCCTAACTCGGGACGAAACAGTTGTTCAATACTCCCTGGTTTCACTTATATGTATACCTAATTTGTCAATATTTAAACCAATCGAAATTTTTGAATTATTTTTTAGGGGGCATATTACTACTACTACTACATGACTTTTAGTTGACGTCATAATAACTGAGTCAGACAAAGTATTACAGTTACGCCCTAAATGGATCCAACAGCCTACATACCAAATTATATGCGCTCATTGGTTAATATTAAGTTAAGTGACCTTAATTAGTTAATTACACCATTGGGTCTTACTACTGATTTCCCAAGGTGATATTCGTGGATTTTTTCTATTTGAGTAGAATAGACTCTTTTGTCGGGTTCTGTATGACTCACTTATGGTTGACATTATAAACTATGTTACTAAGTCATGTGATCTAATTAGCTCATTGGAGTTTCAGTAATGGGACTGTTTTTTTTCTTTTCGTGGAGAGTATTTTCTAGCTTCACTGCCAGCCTTCTCTCCTTCCGGGACATACTACCGACTAGACGAGGGTTTAGAGGGATGCGTCGGTCGGAAGTCGAATCCAGCTAACGATGTATTTGTCCGCCAGTAAATTTCGATTAGTTTATGAAATGGATTTACCTCTTCAGTTTATTTCTCAAGTGGAAGATGTGCAACACCGATAATTTAAATATGATGGAGAAGATTTGTAGCTCAGGTGGATGATTTTGATGTAGTTGCGTTCTCTGAACTGGTGGATGGTTTATTTGCGAAACCTTCATTGCTTTCATTTCAATTTGAAGTACACGCTGAAGATGTTGCCCAGTAGGGCAATGAAAGCTTCGCAAATAAACCATCCACCAGCTCAGAGAACGCTAACTACATCAAAAACACTGATAATTCTCTGAACAGTGCTACTGTAAACTGTGTGTATATATCTGGTTTACTTTTAAAAATGCATTCCGATCACCACACGGCACGTTTTGTTTAAATATAGTTGACTTGCGTAATGTACAACTGGTGTGTGTGCATGTGTGCTTATATGAATAGAGAGAAAGAGAGAGACGGAGGGAAGTAACTAACTGTCCTGTAGAGTATTTATAAATTCTAATTTCTGTTTAGTTTCTAGTTTACGCCATTACTATTTCTTTTTGTATTGCTTGTCGTAATCTATGCAACATTCAATGGCACCATTCACTCTGAAAAAAATAGTGGACAGCCTTACATACAGTGAGTGACTTTATTTGACATGCAAATGTTTGTAGTATGTGGTTTTTTGAAAAATCTGTTTCGTATATACAACATATAGTGTTTACATTTAGGCGTTTTACAGTTGACTTGAGGAAGTCAATCCATCTGTCTGCGATACCTTTTTAACCAGTCGAGTGCTAGGTAGGTAGGATGGAAAATCAATCAACGAGGCTGTGAAGCAGCTGCATCGACTGAGATTGTTAGGACATGTGTTACGCATACATCCCTAGCCATCGCCTCCCTCGACAACAGGCAATGTTAGCTGAAATAGCGTCAGGCTGGAAAACAGCTAGCGGTGGTCAAACCAAAACATGACTTCATCAGCCGGTAAGATCCATAACAGTTAGTTTAAGCAACGTAGGAAGGTGTAGACTTCCAGTCTGGTTGGGGTCCACGGGACGGTAGAAACCATCGAAGGCTGGAGACAATCGGTGATATGGCTCAGAGTGATCGTTCTCAATGGCTGGCTCTGATGCATCCACTCCTTGTGAATTATGATTTCCAATGAAACTGTTTTGTTCTTCGTTATTACTATTTCTTTGTCTCACACTTCTGTTTACTGTCTCTATTATGCATTTCTTCTACTTTCTTCTCTTACTTTGTGTGCTACATGTGGGGAGTGTGGCGACTCGGACTGCTGCACGTCTGTGCAAAGTTCTATGTCGAAAACACACAGACAAACACAATCACTTTATATGGACTCCACATAACAATAAGGATTATTCGGAATGTAGTATGTAGGTTTGCGTTGATAGTTAGTTGTTCAGCGGTCGAATTCTTGTCAACCACGCAACTGATTTTGGTTTGATTTTGCGGCCAATGCCCTCTTGAATCTCGCCTTGCCCAGTAGAGAGGAAAAGTTGGCCATGAGGCTAGCAACTCTATCCCATAAGAGAACATTGCCACTGCTGCTGACACTTTGAAGCTCTAGTTCGAAGCCTTATGTTCTACTCTGAAGGCAAAAAACGTAAATGTTATTGAGTAGCAATATTAGCATACAGATGGCTTATAACAATTAGAGTGTGAATTGTAGTAACACTGTTATAATCTGATTTTTGTGTAGCTCATCTCACATGTCCTTCTTCTCAACATCCTCTATTTATATAAGGGCGGTGAACGTGTGAGCGTGTTTGCAAAAAATTGATATTGATGTTTAACTAAGCTGTACTTATCAGTGATTAACAATTGATATATATCTCTCTGTATAAATAAGAACTGAGTAATTAGGTTGATTACTTAACTTTTTCACTCGTTACCGTCACTGCCTCTGAATGATTGATGTGATATGGTCAATCTAGGAAGTATAAGATAGCTGTCATATTATAATAACCAGTGATAGGAGGACACTAATCGAGATATAAGTGTATTCTTACTCGACATGAGATTAGGTTGGAAAAGGGTTAGAAGTGATCAAACCAAAACATGGCTTCATCAGTCAATGAAATCCATAACAGTTAGTTTCAACAAATCATGTGGAGAAAGGTGTACACTGCCTGACTGGTTGGAGTCCTAGGCATTCTAAGAACCAAAGGCTAGAAACTTTTGATGATGTGGCTCAAAATTTTCTTCAATGCCACAGATGCATTCAGTCTTTGTAATCTCCCATATCTAAAAAAGACCCTGTTGTTTTTTCACGTTACTTTTCTTTCTCTCTCACCCACACACATTTCTGCTTCCTATAGTTCATTTGAATCTCTTTTTTCCCCACCATTGTGTGCTGAATGTGATGTGTGGCGATTTGAACTGGTGCACTTCTGTGCTATGTGTTCCATGTTGAAACTCAGTTAGTTAGTCAGTCATTCCCATGTTATTGTGTGGTTTTCTTTTTTGGCATGCGATTCTCTCCTGTCAAATGTAAGATGATGCTACAGAACTAGGCTACATCTACTCCTAGCCTATAGATAAGCAGAAGTGAAGTGGTTGCCGGAGCTTGTTGATCACTTCACTTATTTGGGAAGTTGTATCATTCAGCCCAGCAGGGGTGTTGATCGCTGACGAAATCTCAGAATGCATGCAGAAGCCTCGTTTGGCATTTGCCTTCCAACTTACGCCATCTCTCGCTTAGTTAGTAGACGTGATATCTGGCTGTCTGTCGATCAAAAGACGTGTGTACTGCAAGGCAGCAGCAGTTCGCCCTGTCCTCCTTTATGGGCTGGCTGGCTGTGAGTTAGACATGGCCATTGAATGTGGAATATATGAAAAGCCCGGTTAGCTATCTTTGATCATAAGTGTCCCCTTTCTATCGCCCGTGTTAGGTGGTATAACACGGTGAGTAACATTGAGGTGAAGCATCGGTCGATTGCTAGGTAAGTGGGAGGGAATATCGATCGACGAGGTTGTGAAGCAGCTGCATCGATTGAGATGGTTAGGACATGTGTTACGCATCCATCCCTAGCTGTCACTTTCCTCGACAATGGGCAATTTTAGCTGACTGACATAGGATGGACCAAGTTGGAAAAGAAAGAGCTAATGGTGGTCAAACGGAAACATGCCTTCATCACTCAATGCAATCCATAGTTTAAGCCGGTCAGCTAGCCACCTAGGGAGGTGTAGACCGACTTGGTTGACTGGTTGGAGTCCTCAAGATGGTAAGAACCAATGACGGCTGGGAACAACTGCCAGTATGGCTGGCTCAAAATCCTCGTTGTCAATATGGCTGGCGCAGATGCATTCACTCTTGGTGATTTGCCGGTCATATCCAATAAAACTCTATTGTTGTTCTTCCATATTACTATTCTTTTTCCTTAACTCACACTTTTGTTTATTATTTCTCTCTCTTTCTTCTTGAATCTCTCTTTATTGTCTTCTCTTGCTTTATCTGGTACATGGAAAGATTGTTCTCTGTTGAAGTTAGTCAGTCAGTTAGCGGTTTTCTGTGTGAATTCTCCTCTTTATATGGCAGTTGTATAATAACTTGATCACCACAGGATTGAGTAGTTAATAGTCGACATAAATCTGATTTTTTTTACTCCTTAAGTTATCCCTAAATACAGTAAAATAAAATATTTTTCTACGTGTTCTATGTCTTTTTTGAAATGACCTCCTTTGAAATTGTTTCATCACCTGAATGTATATATCATAGTGTTGATTTGAGATTGAAATATTGTAGTTAATCTTTATATAATCGTTTTGTCTTCAATCGATAATTATTTTGGTTTTTCTTTTTCCTTTCTTTCTTTCCTCTTAACTATTATTTAGCAGTTACAACAAAATCTGCGTCCTTCATTTACTCTTCAAAATGATGTAAGTTCTTATTTACATTATGTATGTTGCGTTGTTTAAAGTAAACTAAATTTTTTTTGCGTAATTATATTTACAAAACGATTATTGATTTTGTAATAATGATTTTTAGCTTCCATGCCTTTCATTATCATCGATGGAGCTGTGACTCATTCATTGGCTGAAGTAGGTCGACTTTCGGTCAGTGAGTTCTGGGTTTGAACCCTTCCCGCCCCCCCCCCACTTCGAACGTCTACTTCAGCCTGAGCAACTTGGTAGTTTCTAAATCCTTCATACAGCAAGTGTGACTGATAACGTGGGGGTATAGAAGACACCTGTCCCCGGGAATTGACTTCAAATAACATTGGCTTGATCAGTCAATTTCATATTAGATAAGTTTATTTTAAATATTACACAGTGATGCAGTATATTAACAACTGGCGCGTCACGAAAAGCATTTCCAGTAGGTTACTTCCGAATTTCATCAACAGCTGCCTTCGTTCGATACTAAAGATCAGATGGCCAGCGGGAAGGAATTAGTAACAAGGAACTCTGAAAACGAATCAATCAAGAATTAATTTGTTTTTGAATAAAGCGAGAACTACAGTTTTTGCAGAATAAAATGGTACCATCATTGTTTATTTCGTTGGCTTCTCATCAACTGCTTACAGGCCAAAGTCATTATTAAGTATATCTACAGAAACAATTTTGACATACTTGTACAGAGTTCATTTTAAACAAAAATCAATCAATATATGCATACAGTAATAATATATATGTAATAATATTAAACACTATTCCGAACAATAATAATCATACACAATGGAAACTTTCGGCATTACGTAATCAGATGAAAAAGCGGTGAAAATATCCAGTTACCAGGATGGCCAAAGAAAGACTGATAATCGCTTTCTTCTGAACGCATAAATCAGGTTTCAGTCGCTTGATGGAGATCGCTTCAGCAAACTTGAGGAGAATTGAACTCTTTTGCCTATTGATAATTTTCAACGATCTTGCGGCGTCCACCGCAAGATGTCTGACATTTGCACTATTGACAGGCATTTGTTCCCTTGAGACATAGGCTTTTTGGTACATGTTCAGATATGTCCTTCTTTCTGTTCTTCCAATGTAACTGCTCCCACAGATACATGTAAATTTGTATATACAGTTGGAATTAACATGAGAAGGATATCTATCGATTTTTGATTGTTTACAAAATGAACTCTCTGTGCAAGTATGTTAAAATTGTTTCTGTAGATATACTTAATAATGACTTTGGCCTGTAAGCAGCTAGGTGATGAGAAGCCAACACGAAATAAGCAATGATGGTACCATTTTATTCTACACAAACCACTGTTGTTCTTGCTTTATTCAAATTCATAACGAGGGGAATAAATGTATGAAATTAATTGTTTGCTCAACAAATATGGCGATTTTCAACTATTGGTTTCGTAGGGATTTTGTTTGATTGCATGGAGGATTTCATCATGAAGAAGAAGACATTGTGAAATGGTCGCGCTATGTCGTGAATTGGCAAAAGTTAGAATTCAAGGACCATTGGATCGGATCCCAGTGGCTCAATGGTCTACGAGCTCGCCTTGTAACCAGAAGGTTCCAGAAGGGTTCGAATCCCGATGGGTGCGTACTGCTGAAGAGTCCTAAACTAGGACTACGGAAGCAGCTGTCCAGTACTCCCAGGTTTTCCAGTGGTTCTCTAACTGATGTCACCTCATAATGAAATCCTCCATGCAAATATGGCGATGTTGTAATCAGGTTGTACGAGACCGTTGAATGACATCGTGCACCAGACCGGTGCTCGAGTGGAATCCGAATAGGAAATGGCGAGGGTGATACGGAAGACATGAGCCAGCTAAAGAGGACTGCAGAGAACAAGATGTGCTGTTGAAGCCTTATGTTCCACTCAGAACCTAAGAGGATTATATATATATATATATATATATACAGCAGTGCGCATTTCATCCTATATGGGACTCATCAACTAAATATACCTGCATGTTATAATTCTGTATGAGCATGTCAGCTCAACATAATCAATTTAACAGGGAAGTTAGATCAATCTAAAAATAGAATATTTGCTGTTTATCAGTAGGTGTATGTCTTCATGCTTTCAACCTATTCATCACATTTACCTTGGTCGTTTTACCGGTCACTTATTGTAAGCCTTATATATGTCTACATATATATGCATAAACCCGAAACATATATAAATTTGATACATTTATTCCCCTTTCTCAATTTGAATAAAGCAAGAACAACAGTTTTTTTACAGAATAGCAATATGGTACCATCATTGTTTATTTCGTTGGCTTCTCATCAGCTCAGCTGCCTAGGTATATTATTATTAAGTTCATGTACAGAAAAGTTTTAACATACTTGTAAATTTTACATGATGTCAGTTGACAGGAGATTCCGGAATTAGTGAACAGTGCTCAAAAAATTACGCTTATATGGGTTTTATGCAGGGAGTTCATGTTTAGACAAAGTCAGTTTATGCATACAATGGTAAAGGAATTACGTCATAAAGACGAGAGGTGCGTAAGATGATGGATGAGTAACTAATAAATTAGGTAACAATGTACTGAGTTTAACTCAAATCATAGAAACAAGAGACAAGCAAAATCACACTATATAAAGGGGGGTGAGGTTAAAGTCAAAGATTACATAATCAAACGAAGTAGAGAATAAAGGCATCCAGTTACTAGGGCGGGTCAAGGAAATACTGACAACTGCTTCTCTCTGAACACATAAATCGGATTTCAGGCATTGGATACAGATTGCTGCTTCGGCAAGCTTGAGGAGAATAAAGACATGATATGGTACCATATTATTCTGCAAAATCTGTTGTTATTTTTGCTTTATTCAAATACATAAAATAAATGGTTAACACATTTTGATGTCAATCAATTCGTGCTTATTTCTATATAAAATTAGTCTTCAGATAGGCCATGGATTATATCTCAGGTGTATTGTGACCTGATAGGCTCTTCTGAAAAGTAATCACAAAAGTATAACCAACACGATCATATGTTTATTGCATATATGTTTAAACTGTTTCTGTTCTGTCTGAACAGTGTTCCATTTTAATGACTAATTTTTTTAATAATATCTTATCGAATCCTTTCTTGATAATGATGAATTCAAATTGATTGAACTGTCAAAACTCCGAAATCGTGTCCTGATTTTCATCTGTCGTTTTACATCATCCCTTCTTGTGTTCCGAGTCGTGGAGCATGCGGCCTCGATCTTTTGAGCTTTTGAAGTTTTAGTAATGTTTGGTATTGTCTTTTCTAGGATTGGGTTGCTAGCCTCATGTCCAACCCTCCCTTCTTTTCTGGTTAGTCTGTCTGTCTGTTTTCGACATAGAACTTTGCACAGATGTGCGACAGTTCAAGTCGCCACTCTCCCCACATGTAGCACACAAAGAGCATAAAGTAGAAGAAATGCATATTAGAGACGGTAAACAGAAGTGTGAGACAAAGAAATAGTAATAACGAAATCATAAGTTACAAGGAGTGGATGCATCTGCGCCATCCATTGAGAACGATTTTGAGCCATATCACCAATTGTCTCCAGCAGTCATTGGCTTTTACCATCCCAAGGACCCCAACCAGTCAGGAAGTGTACACCTTCTTACGTGGCTTAAACTAACTGTTGTGGATTTCATTGACTGATGAGTCCATGTTTTGGTTTGACTACCGCTAGCTCTCTTCCAGCCTGACTCTATGTCAGCTAACATTGCCCGTCGAGGAAGGCGACGACTAGGTTAGGCATACGTAATACATGTCCTAGCCATCTCAGTCGATGTAATTTCACAGCCTCTGTGATTGAATCCCCCCTTCCTTACCTAGCACTCGACGCCTTTCCCGGTTAGGGGAGACTTTGAAGTGTGTCGACCGGGAATCAGACCCCAACTACCCACCTAGTTAGTATTAAAGATTAACATACAACATGTTGCTTCAATGCTCATCTTCGTCACAAAAAATTGTGCGTTTAACTGTGCATAAGTTGTGCGCGTTTTACTTCAACGTTTCTCTTCACGTGCGCAAACAGCCACAGGGTATACCATAGGCATTACTGAAATGAAAGTAGTCATCGTATCTGTTCATCAAATCTAAGTTTAACGAATATCAGTTGGTGAAACCCGTGATATAACCACTTAAACTAGATAACTTATACTTAGTTTAGTACCTATCAGACGTCATCTGTAACTACGTTCACAAAACACACACGTAAGGACCGAAGGAGGAGGACGTATATTGAAAGAGCAGGAAAAAAAGAGTATTCACTCAGTTTTGTGGAAATTTTCTCGATTACTTTGAGAGACTCAAAGTTTATCAGATTTTCACTAGATTGATTGGTCAATTTCTTAATGAATTCGAGACACTAAGTGCATATGCACGTTAATGTAGGAGAAGAGTTCAGGGAAGCTGTGACCAGTAGGGTGCAGCAGGTCGGGTGTGAGGACAAATACTCGCCGAAGACATTGGCTAGCGGTTGCGCTATATCGTGAATTGGCAGAAGTTAGAATTCATGGACTATCCAGTGGATCGGGTCCCAGTGGCTTAATGGTATGCGAGCTCGCCTTGTAACCAGAAGGTCCTGGGTCCCCGTCCGTTCCTCCTGTGGTTGAGACAATGCTCCCTAGATAAGTGAATGAAGTAACCTCTTTCAAATTCCTCCCGTTGATGGTGATTGGCGCTGTATGTTGCTACTGTTGTTGTTGTTGGTTGGTTATTTTCATAACCTCCATCTTGTCTATGTTCACCTGCAGTCCTGTCTTTGCTGCTTCTTCGACCATAGGCATTACTGAAATGAAAATAGTCATCGTATCTGTCCATCTTATCTAAGTTTAACAAATACCAATTGGTGAAACCCGTGATATAACCACTTAAACTAGATAACTTATACTTAGTTTAGTACCTATCAGACGTCATCTGTAACTACGTTCACAAACACACATGCAAGCTCCGAAGGAGGAGGAAGTATATCGAAAGAGCAGAAAA